TTATTTCTTATAGAGCATTCAGTATATCAGCCTGGTGCATAGCTCATCTGCCCTCCACATTAGTTTTACCTGCAAGCCTGTCAGCTTGCTCATTTCCTTGCAAGCCTGCTTCAGATAGGGCAAAGGAAGGCAACAACTGTCTAGGACAAAGAGTTCAAAAATTAATGTGGGCAGACGCGATGACTAATGGCCTGGATTTCAAGAAGATGATAGTCTCAATCTATAGCCGCTATACTGAGAAACTCCCCTGTGCTTGGCTGTACTTAATGACGGTCTGTATTTTGTCTGCTGTGTTAATGGTCAATTTATAAATTTATCTGACCTGTCTACTTATCTGAAATAAATATATTTAATGAAAACTGTTTTGTTATGAGTGTTGTGCATTGTTGTTTGAATTGCACAATATCTTTGGACCCATCGATGATGAAAATGGCAGAGAATGGAGAGTGAAAAGCAACTAAAATTCAGTATCTGTTTACATTATTGCTCATTACTTGCATCACGAAGACTGAAATATTTGGGATGGGGCATGCAGAGAAAATGGCACATAAAAGAGAGACAAAAACTATGTACACAAATGAGATGGTTTTGAGTTGACTGCATGGCAGATCTAGAAGACAATAGATAGATAATAATATACAGACACATCTAGAAATGCTTTTAGACACCAACTGAAAGATGTGGCCAACCACAGATATGAGTGGTAACGAGTGATATCTGCCGTTATAAACCCACTTTAAGCTGAATCCACTAGGTCAGAGTTATTCAACTTAGTTTTTTAAAATGCTCAGTATCTGAAGGTTCAGGTGACTGGGTCAAACCTTGAGAATGGATGATGGTAGAGTCCCTACGGAAATCCTCTATTGCAGCGATTCTCAACCCGTGGGCCGTGACCGTTTTTGTTGTTGTTGAGTTAAACTACTCTTTCGCAGGGGTCGCAAAACACATATTCCATGAAGTTATGAAGCAGCAACGAAAATAAGTGCATGATTGTGGGTCGCCACAACATGAGGAACTGTATTAAAGGGTCGCTGCATTAGAGAGGTTGAGAGCCACTGATCAGTTACATGACAGATGCTTAGAAGATGTCGAGGTCGGCCTCTACTGTCATGTAAAAATGTTTGCAAGCAAGACATGAATGATACAGGCATTGAGGTAGAATCGTAGGGGAAAAAATAATATGTTCAGTGTTGCTTGAAGAGGGAAACAAAATCAGGCAGCGAATGGAAATAAAGGGAATAAATGATTGCAGACAGATATGTTGCGAGTCTGAGAAGACGCACACGAAATGCATAGCGAAGAAACAATTACTGAAATCTAATACTCTAATCGTGGAAGGCTTTTCTCATGGTGGGCTGTCACTCGCCATCACCGGGGTCTATGATTTTAGTGCCTGCCCTTGATTGGCTTAATATCACACAATGGTCTGGGAAGTCAGACAATACGAATCTAGCCTTGTATGTTCGATACACGGCTGGCGTCCAAAGAAACTTTGTCTTAAAAAAAAAAACATAACATTATTAACATTCTTTTAACAACCGCACTTTCCCTGTGAGTAATGCTTTTCAGCTTATTTGCTGATGTTTGTGGTTATGACAACACAGGTTCTATATAGCAGTTTTTCACTCTCTCTCTCTCTCTCTCTCTCTCTCTCTCTCTCTCTCTCTCTCTCTCACTGCAGTTGCCTCTAACTATACACATCTCGATATTTTTTTATGGAGAAAACAAAGAGATAAAACGACAGATGGGCTAGTAGAGTGGCACGAAGGTCAATTACAAATTAAATTCTGGAGACTGAGGCCTCACCAAGTTCTATTCTATTTCATAAAAGATGTCAGTTCCTGCGCAAGTCTACAACAACCAACCTCCAGCCGGGAGACGATACACACAAACTGATTCAAACTGAAAAAAATATTGTAGAGAACGAATGAATGCAAACGATGCGATCGCTTGTGAGATTAGGCATAGTACACATAATAGGATATAAAACACTCAGAGAAACAATTACTGACAATTTATGGCCTCTAACTGGTGTTTTAATTTGTATATTTATCTAACCTTAAATTCACACCTGACAAGTTTTATACAGCATGTGTAAACTACTGCTTTCAGCCTTCAGTTGGTTAATCGATTTAATTTCTCTTACTATATATTAAAAATGCTGAATGTTTGAAAAAACGAGTGTTTATACATTTACGCAAGTTGACGATTTCGTTATTTGGTATGTGTGAATGAAATCTCAGGGAGATAAAGGTATCTGCTTTTATGTAGATATGTTTCTAATTTGTTTTAGTAGGTAACTCTTGTGCGTCAACCCACGACTTCACAAACAATCGAACTCATCAGGTACCAAGCAACTCGCCATACGTTTTTTGGGTTTTATTAGCATTACACAGTTGTCTTAATTCCTCATGCCACCCCAGTTGTAATCTACCCTCACTCTGCTTCAGTTGACACTTTAACCCTCTCTAGTTTATTTATTAATTGAATTAAACCTGACTAATTTATCAATTAGCACTTTAAAGGAAGAAAAAGCTGAATAATAATAATATCTGCATGTTACATAAAAGAATTAGAGACCTGCTGGTAAGAACGCTGGGTTCTCATTCGGGACACCCAGGTTAGAATCCTCGGCCAGTTAGCACTGTAGTATCATTTTGAAGAGGCTAGTAGATTTTATTACATGTCGGCACCATTGCATTTACCGTCTTGTCACTGTTGAAAAACGGCTGTTAGTTACCAAGTTGTACAGGAGCATAGTTTCCTGTTCCGCTCACCAAGAATATAGTCGTCACCCATTCACAGTAGACAAAATGTTACTTTATAACTGTCGGCTGACCCAGTACAGCTGTGTTACAAAGCTGAAAGGGGTTCCTGGGATGTGTTCTTGCTGGATTCGAATCCGAGCAGTGGCACTTTGAGTCGTTGGTTATCAATCGTTCAGGTTGCAATCACAGAATAAAAAGTTAAAAAACAAACAAAATAATAATAATAATAATAATAATCTCTTTGACTTACATAAATATAAGCAGATCTGGATTCGTGACTACTTCTTAAAATCCATGTCGTTTGGCATTGATAATCATGTCTATCAACAACTTTCTGTCTCGTGTACTTTCAATGAACTTTGACACAGAAAATCTTCAATGCCGTGATGTTAAACTGTCCAGCATCTTCTCTCTCGATCTATATCCGCCTCTCTTTCTCTCCAACTTTCTTACTTATGTATTTCAGTCTTCTCCTTCTCATCACATCACCAAAGAATGTAGATTGTCTCTTTCTCATGTTGGGCAATCAGCTCTATTTTTGAGTTAGTTTAAAAAAAAAATCTGTCCTAGGGTATTCTCATCATTCTGTCTATAAGACAACAACATCTCCACAGCTTGCAAATAATTTTCCACCAGGCTACTAACTGTCCACGATTCACTTCCGTATATCAGAACATTATTTATATAGCTTTTAAGAATTCTCTTTCTTGTCTCAATTGACAAAGAAAGCTTGCACAGAATTTTGTTCTTTTTCTAGAATAAGGCCTTTGCTCAAGTTATTTGACATTTAACTTCTTTAATACATTTTCCGTCTGATCCCAAGTATTTAAACATATAAACATTCTCGAGGTTTATCCGGTTTATTTTGATACTGCATAGTCCAGTTTGTATGTAATTATAAGTGCTTGCATTTTTTTTTCTACTGTTCAAACAAAGACCCCTGTTTTGAGTGTCTGTTATAATTAAGTTCATCATTTCTTGATTGCTGACTTCTAATTGTGATCAGAAAAAAATCATCAAAATGGCATGATGACATATTTCTGTACAATAAATTAGTGTTCTATGTAGAATTTCACATACAACTGTTTATATATATATATATATATATGTGTGTGTGTGTGTGTGTGCGTGTGTGCGTATGCACACACTCACTAACTCATCACTCACTCACTCATCACTCACTCACTCACTCACTCACTCACTCACTCACTCACTCACTCACTCACTCACTCACTCACTCACTCACACTCACTCACTCACTCACTCACTCACTCACTCACTCACTCACTCACTCACTCACTCACTCACTCACTCACTCACTCACACACACGCTCACGCTTACAATCGCTCACTCACTCACTCACTCATTCACTCACTCACTCACTCACCCACTCATTCACTCACTCACTCACTCACTCACTCACTCACTCACTCACTCACTCACTCACTCACTCACTCACTCACTCACTCACTCACTCACTCACTCACTCACTCACTCACTCACTCACTCACTCACACACACTATTTAAAAAAGTGAAGGACTTCCATACTAGTAGCGCATTGTGCATATGATGCCAGACCTAGATGTTTTAGGCAGCTTTTGCTTAAAAAAAAAAGATGTTTAAGTACGCCTGCTGGCTGGATAGATTTTGAAGCCAAGGTCAGTAAAATTGTGACTGTGTGAATTCGAAAACCAGGCCTTCGGTGTTTCAGGTAAGCGTCTAGCCCAGAGCTTTCCAAACTGTGTGTAAGTGACAGATTTGAGTTTGCGGCGGTGTACAATTGCGTCGCCCCAATGAAGAGCATTAATCAGAATAATTGGGAATCAACGCCGCACCGTAAACACCGGTATTATTTAATTTGTTTTATTATTGTTACACGTAAATTATAACAAGGCCATTAATCTTGCAACTGAATATTTGTCATATAATTAAACGGTTTTCATAAGGTAGCCCTTTCGTGAAACATGTCGTTATACAACGTATTTATATACCTATATCTCTTATAAGGGATTAGCTGAACACCTGGTTTGCTAGTAGACTGAATTACCGTGTAACTAAATTATGCTTGTATAAAATCTGTATCACCAACATGAGAAGTTTATAAAGCTTCAGTCTAAACACTGCATTGCCAAATCTTTTCTTCTGTGTTGACTGATAAAATCAAATACCTTATTTGAGCCCGTTATATTCTGTACAATTGTTCCTTTGGCTTCAGGTGAATAAATGAACCATGAATAGAGTTGTCCAGCAACTGGTTTTGGTGTGTGTTTTGTCGTATTTCAAATGTGATGGGCAAAACAACAACGAGGAGAAGGCAAAAGCATTTCTCAGAGAGTTTAATGATGCTGACGCGAAGGCGTACCCAAAACTAGCAGAGAAAAACTGGGAGTACACAGTTAACATGAACGCTAATAATGATGAGCAATCTGTGAGTTATGTGTTGTAAATTAATGTTTTATAGTCAAGTAAATTTAGGAAAAGTGTATATTTTCCTGTCCTCTACTTCACCCTTGTCTCCACCGCTGCCGTATGTTTGTTGATTTCCCCTAACTGCAGTTTTGGCTCTTATCACCCTTGCGTCATTCAACCACTCCTCAAATCTGACCTCAAATCTGCACCCCAAAGAGGGCTGTAGCGTCCACTACCGAAACATTGGTCTAGGAGGCTCCTACCATATCCCTCTATTCCCAAATGTGACTGATATAATTATTGCTCCTTCTACCACCCCCAGTACCTCCAATAGGATTGTAGCATCTAGCGTCTGAAACACTGGTCTAATCTGCATATGAGTTTTAGGATAAATTTGCCTCTTGTTATAAGTGGTTTGAAGCTGTTACAGGCCTCATCGCATGTAAGCCCGATGATAAGGGGAAATCGCACATAATGACATGCGCGTAAATCAAAAAAAGCTTGTAATTGAGAGTCAATGCCCTGCGCTGTTTCCAATAATAGGTTGAGGACGTAAACAATCGGGCTTGTTAAAGTGCGCAGTAAAGTGAGCTATAAATATTATTATTAATTCTTAAATCTTCTTCTTCTTCTTCACCTTCTCTTTTACCGCTGTTGGTGTCGAGGGAGATATAAGGTTCTGTTTCTAGCTCTTCTGGCCGCCTCGACCATAGGCACATCGTGCTGTTGTAGAGTTTCTCTGATGTTATCCTTCCATCTTGTTCTTGGTCTACCACGTGCTCTACGTCCTTCTTCTCTTTCCATGTATGCTTTGTATGGTATGGTATCACAAGGCATTCTCTCTAAGTGGGCAAACCATTTCACTTGCTGTCTTCGTATGTAATCCAGAATTGGTTCTGTGCCGACTTTTTCTCTTATGATCTCATTCCTGATCTTATCTCTTATGGTCACTCCTACAGACCTTCTCAGACATCTCATTTCCGTGGTTACTAATGTTCTTTTATGGTTTGTTGTGAGTGACCATGTCTGGCACTGGTAGCACAGAATTGGAATAAATATGCTTTGAAAAAGATGTCTCTTTGTGCTGATTGGGATTGTCTTATGCTGTAAGAAGGAAGCTAGCTGTCCCAATACTTGGTTTGCTTTACTGCATCTAATGTTAATTTCTTTATCCAATTTCCCATCTTCGGTAAATGTAGTTCCCAGATATTTAAACTCAGATGCCTGTTTAATGCCTTTGCACTCTATTGCTATGTTTAGATCTGTCTTCTTTTTTTCCTATTGACATTACTTATGTCTTTTCAGTGTTGATTCTCATATTATTTGTTTTACATTCTTCATTCTTGGATGTTAGATGTTGTTGTAATTTCATGGCTGTATCTGCTATCAAGGCCTGGTCATCTGCAAAGAGTAATTCGTTGATCTTACTAACATTTTCATTCATGGGCTTGGCATTCTTATATACCGAGTGAAAAGGGCCTTGGGTGAACTTCCATTCGACAGATGTATGCAGATGTATAATCTGCTAAATCTTGAAAAGAAACGGCTTTTTTTAGTTTCAAGGGAGATAACAGCGAAATGTATTCAAACAAAAACAGTATAACTCCAGCGCAAGTTTTCGTTTAATGATTGTTAAAAAAATAAATAAAAGAAATGCACATAAACCTGGCCATCACTATGACTGTTAAATGAAGCACGGTAGCTATAATGACAATTGCAATTTTAACCTGTGTAGTGTAAACAAGGATCTCATCAAGATAGCAAATCTGATACAGGAAGGAGTAAAAGAACAGTTACAACAGAAAGTAGAGACAGCATTTAAACAACTTCCACATGTAGTTGGCAATATTGAGGAAGAATGGAGTATATATAAAAACACTATGCTTAGTATTGCAGAAGAATTATGTGCAAAACGGAAGAGTGGAAACAGACGGGGAAATAACAAATATTCACCTTGGTGGTGCGAAGAAGTAAAAGAAGCAATTAAAAAGAAAAAAGACTTATATAAACAGTGGATAAAATTAAAGAAAGAAGAAGATTATATAAACTATAGACTGCAAAGGAGAGAAACCAAAAGGAGTGTCAAGAAAGCAAAACAAGCATCCTGGGAACGTTTCGGTGAGTCATTAGCAGAAAATGAGAAAACAGCCAGCAGAAAAATTTTCAAAGTGGTTAAAAATATGCGGAAAAGAGATGAGAGCTACAACCCCACTGAAATAATTAATGATAAGACAGGAAGGCCATTGATAGATCCACCCGAGATTGCAGAAAGATGGAGGGAATACTTCAATGAGCTCTTTAATCCTCTAGGAGATCATCAGGAAAGAACAACTGAAGAGCACAGAGCAACAGTGTTAGAACCACACATACTAATGGATGAAAAAGAAAAAGTCATTAAACAGTCTCCCAAATATAAAGCACCAGGAGCTGATAGATTACCAACATAAATAATTCAAGCAGCAGGTAAAAGCAGCATCAGATGGCTTCACAGAATATTCAATGCAGCATGGGTACAACAAACGGCCCCCATTGATTGGCAACATGCAATAGTTATACCATTGTGGAAGAACAAAGGAAGCAAACGAGAATGCGGTCAATATCGAGGCATCTCTCTTTTAAGCCATGTTGGCAAAATGTATGCCAAGATAATAGAAACAAGACTGAGACCAGTGATAGAACCACAGCTGGCAGAAGAACAGATGGGATTTAGGAGAAATAGAAGCTGCACAGATGCAATCTTCACACTTAAACAGTTAATAGAAAAGAACATTGAATACAATAAGAACTTATTTGTGGCTTTCGTAGACCAGGAGAAGGCATTTGACAGAGTCGACAGACAATTATTATGGAAAATAATGGCAAGATATGGAGTAAGCGAACACCTCATCGAAGTGTGCAAAAGTTTATACAGGGATTGTAGAAGTGTAGTTAGAATAAATCAGGGAACATCTCATCCTTTCACAGTGACATCTGGATTAAGACAGGGGTGTGTCTTATCACCACTGCTGTTTATCACCTACATCGACAGTATATGCAAGAATGCCAAGCCCATGAATGAAGATCTTAGTAAGATCAACGAATTACTCTTTGCAGATGACCAGGCCTTGATAGCAGATACAGCCATGATGTCTCTTTCTCCTGTGGGCAATCAGTTCTCTTCGTGAGTCACTTTCTTTCAAGACATCCTCATTACTCTTTTTATTTGTCCAGGGTATTCTCATCGTCCGTCTTTAAAACTACCTCTCCGCAGCTTTTCCAATAATTTGTCACTAATCTACCAACTGTCCATGATTCATTTCCGTGTATCAAGATAGGATTCATATAGCTTTTAAGATTCTCTTTCTCTCAGTTGACAAAGAAAGATTACATAAAACATTCTTCATATGGTAAAATGCTGCATTTGTCGTCAGCATATCGCAGATTGTTAACGATCCGACCGACATTCCTGGCCTACCGTGTATGGATATGATTATTATTTTACTGTACAAATGGAATAAATCGGGTGATAGTACACATCCCTGTCTAACGCATTGCTTAATGTTTTGAAAAGTTTCAACTTGGGTGTCAATCCTTAAGCCTGTTTCTTGTTGCTAGTTTATGTTTTTTCTTATTTATTATTCTTAGATCTTTATCATCAATGTTTAAGGTTTCCAAAATAAAAAATAAAAAATCTTTATGTTTCACTTAATCAAATTCTTTAGTGTAATCAATAAAGCACACATACAAATCACTGAATCATTCTTTCTTGGTAAAACCACTGTTATAGATATTATAATTTTAGTAAGCAGCAGCATCACCAACCATAGATGTCCCAACCTGAAAGCTCAGGCCTCTTGAGACCACCCAGTCATTATGTAAGGGAGCTGAAAGACCTCCTTTAGCCATTGACAGAAATACTTGTTTAAAAGTACTTGTCTACAATTTCATATTATTTCAAATGTAATATTATTTGTCATTCAGCATATTGATAATAATGTAACGTGGGTCTCTGTGGCGAAATGATCAAATCGTTTGTCTATCGATATAAAGGTTGTTTCATTAAAGCTTCGTTAATTTCACCAGAATGTCGTCGGAGCTACGGTGTTAGAGTTTAGTGTGACGCTCTCGACATGCGGCTAGCCGTTCTGCGGAGAGAGACCGTGTCGTACGTGATAAAACCAGGTGTAACTAAGTCGATCTTCTCGACTATTAACCTTTAACCTTTAAATAATAATCTGTTGAATGACGAATAAACATAATTATGTGCTTGAAACACACACGCCGGAACCTAGGGGCTGTGGCATCTTGAGCACCCCCTCCACCGCAGTTTTGTAGGGCTGAGCTCCAACACCCTCCATCCTAGTTTAGTAGGTCTGAGCTCCAACACCCTCCATCCTAGTTTTGTAGGGTGGGTGAGTTTGAAATCTTATTGTCCCTGCGTTGTCTATCATGAACAATTCGTCCTGTGAAGTTTGATGTGGCCAACGTATCTTAGTTTCTGGATCACAATACTGTAAGATACTATAATACAGAAGAATGCTAAAATTGCTTGCACTACTAGAGTAAACCAAATATTTGGAAACGGATTGGCAGAGATAAACTTACAACAAACATTAGCAAAAGACAATCTAATTTTAGGTCACAACGCGGTAATAGAATGTTGTTGGAAATGGCAAGATGGATAGAATATGAGACGAAGAAAGACAGCGAGATAAGATTCACTGCAGGCTCTGTTGATGACACAGAAATGTGAAGCATATGATACCACCATTATCATCATCACCAGGTGCCTCACCGACTGGCATTTGCGATCATGCCTCTCCTTAATCCACGATCTCCTGCAGCATGTATCAGTTCGTGTGCCGACACACCTCCATGCCATGCAACAAGACTGTCAAGAATCTTCTCTCGTTGTCTTCCTCTATCCCTCCTTCCACAGATCTTTCCAGTGGTCACATGTTCGATTCCCCCCCTTCTCATAACATGGCTGAAAAATGATGACTGTCTCCTTGTGATTCACATCAATATGAAGTTTTAATGTGCTCTGCGATGGGCAGCTCCCGATCGTGTTTGACCCATTATTGCAACGATTCTTTTCAAATACTTTTAAGATGACATTTATATTTTTTTGTTCCATGTTTTAGAGAATAGAGGACAGTAAATATGCCATATTTAGGAAGGAAATGCGTGCTCGAGCTCTCACATTTAACGCCTCTGTAATGAGTGCCGATATTCAGAGACAACTGTTGAAAATCAGCAATATTGGTGTTGCTGTACAGCCGGATGCCATGAAATATGAACAGGTGAGAAAATTAGCAAACTGTGAAGGTTGCCAGAGGATCGAGTGTATTGCCTCAGGTTTACCCTCAAGTCTTGATCCCATTCTGGAGAGTGAATATTTCCTGCTGAGCGAGGTCGCACCCCCTTGCTTCTTTTTCGCTTTCGCGGTCAGCGGCTGCAAACTCCGGCGGAAAGTTTTGGTTGTTGGTTCATTTCTAAAATTTAGTTGTTTTCCACAACTGGAGTTTTGCGTCACACCAACTAAAAGGAGTTACAGGAACAGTTCTAATAACAGAATGTAAAATGTAATAACAATAACAACTAACAGAGGATATGACGAAATATAATAAAGATGTAGATCCATAAACGTTTAGGACGTTGCATGGTTTATAACGACAGCTCTTTCGGTGCTCTACTGTTTTGCATTAGACTACTAATACGGGAAAGCCGCACTGCGACCATTTCGAACTATCATCATCGCGTGCCGAGTAGATTAGCATAGGCTGACATGCTTTGCGGATCGACCAGGTCTCTGTATTCTGAATATATAACATTCTAAGTGAAAGCAGCCACCAGGAAGTAATAATTTTTTTAAGTTTCGTCTTCTTCTTCTCTTTTACCATTAACCTCACCGCGAGGTGGGAGAGGAAGGATTTGCGTGGGGTGGGGTGGGGGGGGGTGGGGGGGGGGTGGGGAGGGGATGGAATGTAAAGATCGTTTGTGCACTTTTTCCAATGCATGTTACAAGTTTGTGTTCATTTCAGTTAGGTTGGTCCTGATGTTGTCGCTTCATGTCTTGCGTGGTCTTCCCCTTGCTCTGTGTTCATTATATTTCTTCAGCGTGCCTCTCTGAGGCAGTTGGTACCAGGGATTTCTTGTCGGGTGGCCAAGCCATCTCATTCGTAGTTCTTTAATGAATTGTATGACCGGTTTCAGTCCTAGCCTTCTTCTAATTTCTTCATTCCTGATTTTTATCTCTTCTTGTAACTCCGGCAGCTCTATTAAGAACATCTCATCTCTGTTGTTAACGAAATTCCACTCATTGGTTGTAGTAACGGACCAGGTTTGGCACTGGTAGCACAATGTCCTAAACCTGATTTCCTTTCCAAAAAATTCTGTCTTTTTATGAGATTTAAATTCATTCGTTTGTTTTTTTGGACTGTTGACAGTTGTATGGTTTCTTTCTGTGCGCCAGAAGCGGTGATGACTTGGTTTTTTATTGTCTTCCTATTAAAACCCTGATTCATTCTTTTCTTCGCTGTCCGCTTCATTGCATTTATTGTCGATGTATGTTTTAAAAGGGGGAGATAGCACATACCCCTGTCTTCCTCCTGAATTTACTTCAAAAGGTCGCAATATACCTGCTTTTGTTCATATGCAACTTTTACTTGATTTCTCTATCCATTCTTTCGTCTAATTTCAAAAATGATCTATATATGCGAGTAGGCTATGCCTTGCCATACTCTAGTGCTCTTTCTGTCAAATGTCCAAATGTTAACATTACTTCTGTTCAGCTTCTGTTACGCCTGAAACCCATCTGGGCTTCTGAAAGTTGTTCATCTTCTAATGGCCTTAATCTTCTTTCAGTCAATTTGGCGCATACATTTTCCCATTTTCTATTTTTACTATAATTGGTGCAATTAATTTTTACTCCCTTAATTTTTCCATTTGAGAATAATAATTGCTTTTGCCAGTCATCTGGTGTTTCTTGTTCTAGCCAGGCAGCCTGACCCATTTTGCTCCTGCAGTTATGCAGTTAATGCGTCTGTACACAACTGACTATGCGGCGTTCAATTTGATTACAAGCGACAGCAGTGAAAATTTTGTCTCATTTTTCATTGGCACAAAAATGGAGCACTGTAGGATCAACTCAGACACCCAGACACGTTCCAAAAAAGAATAAAAAAGAATAAAAAGAAGAAGGAAAAGAATAAGGTGAAAAGAAAAAGAAGAAGAAGAAGAAGAAGAAGAAGAAGAAGAAGAAGAAGAAAGAAGAAGAAGAAGAAGAAGAAGAAGAAGAAGAAGAAGAAGAAGAAGAAGAAGAAAAAGAAGGAAAAGAAGAAAACGAAGAAGCAGTAATTGAAGCAGTAGTAGTAGTAGTAGTAGTAGTAGTAGTAGCAGCAGCAGCAGCAGCAGTAGTAGTAGTAGTAGCAGCAGCAGCAGCAGCAGCAGCAGGCCGACAGAAGCAGTAGTAGTCAAAGTACTAATAGAAAAAGAAAGAGGAGGAGAAGAAGAAGAAGAGGATGCATAAGAAGAAGATGCAGAAGAAGAAGAAGAAGAAGAAGAAGAAGAAGAAGAAGAAGAAGAAGAAGAAGAAGAAGAAGAAGAAGAAGAAGAAGAAGAAAAAGTCGAGGAAGCAGAAGAAAAAGAAGAATATGTAAAAGAAAAAAGAAAGAAAGAAAAAAGGCGAAGAGGGTATAAAGATAAAAAAGAAAGACAGAAAGAAAAAGACAAAGAGGAAAAAAAAAGAAGAAAAAAAAGTTTTTAAAAAAAAGAAGAAAAAAGAAAGAAAGAAAAAGGACAAATAAATATATTAATAAATGCATAAATAAACAAAGAAAAAAGAAAGAAAAAAGAAAAAAAAGAAAAAAAAAGACGAATAAGAAGAAGAGGAAGAGGATGAGGAGGAGAAGAATGAGAAGGGGGAGGAGGAGAAGGAAGAAGAAGAAGAAGAAAAAGAAGAAGAAGAAGCTACAATAACAGCAGTAATACCACACATGTTTTCAAATTGTAAGCTGATATATTTACGTTAGTATCTTAGTAAAACATACATGTTTCCCCTATCCCCCCCCTTTTTTTTTTCATACACGAAGCTGTTTAGAAACAAGAGAAGTATGTATAACACCTACCTCTCCGCAGAGGTCTGTTTGCCAAACAAGAACTGTTTAAAGTCGGAGCAAGGTTTGTTCTCTTGTGCTGCTTTTGTTAAATATTGAGTACCGGTCTAGCACGCGATGTTGTAATCTGGATGAGTGAACAATGAATGAATAAATGAATGAGTCAGTGCAGACGTGGTTAAATTAATTGCATAACCTTCTTATTTCAAAATGATATATTGGTTTGTTTTCATGCAGGGGACGGAGATGTTTCCTGTTCTTAGCGTTCACCGGCAGCAAATTCCTGTGGAAACTTCTTGTTGTGCCACCGTTTCTGGACTTTAGTCTTCTTCCATAACTAGAGTTTTGCGTGCACATGCGTTTTACAGAGCCTGTTTATTCGTATACAGACTGTTGATTCCTTGCTTCTCAGTCAGATGCCCTCCGACTTGAATGAAATCACCCCTTAATAGTCGACGTTTACCACATGCTTATTAGAGTGTCAGTGTGTCTATTTACCACATGCTAGAAAGAATCGTTTCGCTAATCCCATACTTACTGGGGCTTCCACCTGTTGTCCGCACTGCTCAAGAACTTTCCAGGCTCATATTGGACTAATCAGCCCAATTTAATCATTGATTATTACTACTTTGGATGAAAAGTGGTCTTCATCACTGGTGATGGACGAATAACCACATGACGAGTGCGCAGTCACGCCCACAGTTCGACTCTGGGAACATCTGAAAGTTTCGAAAACGGTACAGAATTCCACAATTATTATAGAAAATGCCAACTGTGAAAAGTACAAGCAGCTGATATATATATATATTATTTAAATGTACTCTAGGGGATAATTTTTCTTTATCGGACACTCATGAATTTTTATTATTATTCTGTCTTTACAAACTTTATTCTACCAAATATGAACCGGTTAAGGAATTAATATACTGACACCTTTAAAATAAATCTACTTGACACAAAATCAGTTTATGGTAAGAACAGTGTGAAATGATAATCGTGAATTTAAATCACGCATTAGGATTCAATGGAGAACGAAGCATAATGTTTTTTTTAACAAGTCAGATTAAAGTAATTGATGATATTGAGGCAGTGAAGAAACAATTTACGCAGAGTCTGTAGCTCCTTCTGTCTCTTCTGTGCCGTTTGATGATTCTGTCTCACTCGAATTTGTTTTTGCCTTCTTCTTTGGGGTGCCGTCTTCAGCAGCACTCTCAGATTCTGTATTTGATTCTACTGCACCTGATTTGGCTTTATTAGTGGTCTCTTTTTTTGTTTCCTCTGACCTTTCTTCTTCTGTAGCAATTTTTTTTCTACCTCCAGAAACTCTTCGGACTTTGCCTTCATGTCTGGGTTCTATGGTGGTTTATTATGTCTCAGTAGCACTTTCGTCTTTTGTTACAGGTATGAACGGAAAAATGTTAAACACTGAACGCTTATGAAAATGCAAAAAATAGAACAGAAGATCTGCTTAACGCCTTTGGGATAGCAGGCACATGATGCTAGATACAAAAAAATCGTAGACCGCCTTTACTTTCTGTTTAACTGGTGGTGCCAATTCTAGGATGGGGAGACCTGAATGCTATCTCACTAGTCAGTAATAAAATTCACATAAGATAACTTCAGAGTGCTGCAAACAGAATCGTATTAGATCAGAGTGTATCCGCAGACACCTAACGCAAATTACATAAGTCATCCCTATGTGGGATGCAATTATTTGTTTCTTGGAAGCCCCACCTTGGCTGTTGACGGAGTCCTAATATAACCTAACGGTTTCCGGGACCTCTCCATAGGTGATCCTCAATTGCATAGTGGCGTTTTTTCACTAGGTGTTTATCGATCTGTGTGATGTCCTGGTGGGGTGAAATTTAATTACTTACCTAAAGCAAAGAGCTCTAAACAGAGGTAAGGGTCAAAGACTGAAAAGAGGAAGATCTTAAATGGCGCAAACTGAAGACACAATTAGACTTGTGTGCAGGCTTGATACACTTGAGCAAGGAGAAGAGTGGGTCACAGTGTCAGAGAAACCGTCAGATATGTGTATTGTTCCCATTTGGGCGGAAATGCAGAGACGGCTAGCGGGCGCTGCATGATCAGAAGTTACAACAACTAATTCATGACAATTCCCGCCCACGTAATGTGAATGGTAGAAAGTTGAAAGGCAGAAGAAGCCCATGGTGGTTCATAACAAAGTTAAAAAAGTCGCCTTGTGCACCAGAGCGGGACTATGATATCATGTCATCTCGTTTGAGAATGGAGGCAAGGGAAGTCACTGGGGTTTTCTTTTGGCTTGAGAAAGAGCTGCACATACATGTCGTGATTTAAACTGAACTACAGAGCATGTTGCATAAAGTGGAGTCAGGTATGGTCCGCGCAGAGCGGCAAACGTCGCCTCAAAGGTCCTAGGTAGTTTTCGTCCATTTGATATTTTCTCCTAGTCATTCAGGTATGTTTTGAAAAGAACAGTCAGACAGATTGGCTGGTCCAGCAGATTTTGGTGGTAAACTGATACACGACAAGCTAGATATATAAGGGGTTTTGAGAGCCAGTGAACAATACGGAGGAACAAATAGATCATAGTGCTCCGTTGAGCATGACACAGCGGGGAGTGACCAGGCGATAAGGCCGACACTGAACACTCAGGGGAAAGAGGAGACGGATTTTATAATCAGACTGATACTGGTACCATGGGACTTCAAACTCTGTATCGGCTCCCGGCGATGGGAATGTCCTGAATGCTATGATGTTAGTTCTCAACTAAACTCAGAAAAAAAAAAAAAAAAAAACTAAGACCTTGGGATAGGCAATCAAGAGACCGCGGCTCTCGGAAAGGTAATGGCAGACAACAGCACAGACCATACGACGCTGTTGCTTGTCCATCACATGTGATGATACCCTTTAATCCGCCAAGTTCAGTAGGATAAACACACACACACACACACACACGCACTCACACGCACACACACACACACACACACACCCACACACATACACACTCATATAGCAATTCTAGGCACATTGCACACTTCACGCCACCAGAGATTGTGGAGATAAAAAGACATGCTCTTTACCTTGCATTTACCATGGTGAAACAGACAGTTTTCGAATGTAGTCGATTTTGTATTTCAGTGCAAATGATTCTTTTATTTGCTTCATTTTGATAAATTGTTACTGTATCAAACAAGAATGTACTGTAGGAGAATACTTGAATATGCAGCTGACATTGATATTGTTAGAGAAAATGAACTAGAGACTGTTAAAGCACTGACTGAACGTGACTTACATATCCCGAGAGCGATAGAAAGTAGAATGTACCTTAAACTAGCTCTTACCATAGACAACAAACCTTTGGCGCACTGACCGAGGGGAACATCGTTGGAGCAATAAACAAACAGTTGTCAATAGTTTAGTGTTCTCGACGTTTGTTCGTGTGACGGCTTGTTGTGTTCAAGTATCTGTCAGTCTTTACCAAAAGCTATCAAGTAGCAAGGAAGAATATCAACCTGAGGCTAGACATACACTAGTTGATGAAAGAAGAGCATCCTCCATACCTCTGTGTTCATGAAATACAGGACAGATACCACCTCTTAGGTAGACACCAGGGCACTCTGAATGTGTAAAGAAACCTACCACCGCATGCTCGCTTCAAAGTTCCAGAAATCTGCATAAAATTGGTAGACGAAGAAACCAAACAGTCCGACCTAACGGCCTTATGAACTCATCGCTAAAGTCCATTGATTCCTACCTACTAGAATGGATACATGCTTATACTGATGGAAATGCATTCAACGCTACTATTCAAACAAATTATGGAATCTACACTGGTTATTCTGATGGATCCATTGAAGAGAATTTTATTGCAAGCGGGAAATTCTACTCAAATTATAGAGCCGAAATAATTGCACCGAAAACAGAAATATAATACATAAAGACTGTAATGGATGTTTATCCTTCAAAGACCCAAAATATTTTCATTTTCATCGATTCAATGTCCGCCCCACAAGCTCTGGAGTTTAGTGAACATTGCAGAACTGACAAAGCCAAGATAATTATGGATACTGATCAGCGCATTACCTCATAGAACATCGGAATAGTGATGCAGTGGATTCCAGGCCACTCAGGCACACGGTGTAATGACAGAGCTGACCGACTGGCAAAGAAAGAAGCATTACAAGAAAAGAAGTGACAACCCTACAAATAGCAAAAACAATCATAAAAGCTATAAACAAAGAGACTTGGCTGAACAGAGGTTTATATACACATGGCTAGCCCTAATCCTAACGACAGCATTAACCATCTAACAAGGACGGACAAGGCCACAATCTTTACACTCAGAACACGATACATTGGACTCAATGGACATCCAAACAGAATACAGCCACAACACTCCCCAGAGTGCCAGCTATGTAACTACCCCTACAAAACTGTTGACCATAATCTCTTTATGTCTCAGCAAGACTAGAAGAATACTACTCCATCGGAGACCAGATAAGTGGAACACGTTGTGCGGAGGTAAAAAAAAAAAAAAAACAGCTTGTGAAAACACGTAAATTCCACTACATGGCATTGGGCCAAATGGCGAAAGCTCATGGGTCGTTGGATCGAAAACAACAACAGTCTGTCAATATACCTGAGCAGGCTGCATGATTAGAGAACAGAGTCATTGCACGGCCATGTTGGCCATCTCACATGCCACCGCTCGCCGAAGATGGAACCATAGTAATGGGGGGATCACTTATCATGTCTGTATTTTAGCAGATTATAATATAATCGCTCCTTATTTTTTCAGAAGTGTCAGAGGCAGTGGCCCAGTCTCGGGACTACAATGAACTGCTTAATTTGTGGGTGTCCTGGCGAAACAGCACGGGAAGATTGATACGGGATAAGTTCATAAGATATGTGGACGAGAGCAACGAGGCTGCAAAATATTTAGGTTAGTGGTGTTTGGGATGACAATCTGTAAGGTATAATTGTGTAAATGTTCTTTGTTTTGTGAATGTTCTTTGTGAACAGTTAAATATATATATATATACCAATAATATGTCATCATCAGAAAATGTCCTGTCAGATGGAGATCAGGCTAAGAAAACAAACCCGGCGCGCATTAAAATTTGCGACTGAACGGTCAATCAAATAGAAAAAAGGAATGACTAGTTCTACTTCTCGTCTATATCTTCCCACCCCTCCTCATTTCTCTAAAATACGCAAGTACAGCTACAATAGCATTAATGTAGTATTATTTGATGATTATTTTTTATATTTCGTTTTTAAACTCAGGAAACAAAGATTACGGAGAAATGTGGCGAGCTAGGTATGAAAGCAGAAATCTTATGCTGGACTTGTCTACACTGTTTGAAAAGGTGCGTCCCATTTATGTTCAATTGCACGCCTTCGTCAGGAAAAGATTAAAGCAGTTTTATGGAAAGGACAAATTCCCGAAATCTGGACAGATACCTGCACATCTTTTAGGTAAGTACCCTTGTGTACCTTGAAGACGACGATAGTGATGATGATGAGGAGGAGAAGGATAAGTGCTGATGGTAATGGTGATGAGTGGTACAGTAGTTGTTTAATTACTCAACTGCCCACTAACGACCAGATATCATAGATTTTAAATAATGGGGTTTTCCCATGTGGGTTGCATTTTGCAAAACATCTACTAGACCCACTGCTTTCCCTAACAAACATGTTGTATGAGGCGACTAATTCATGGTGTTTCCCACAAAGTCGGACACATCTGCATGAGGGGCAATGAAACAGATGTCTGCAAATAAATAAACCAGATCTGTAAAGTTGATGTGCTCGCAAAACGTACGCTCTGGAAAAATCCAGGATGATACCAACAACCAAGACTTTCCACCGGAGTTTACAGCCGGTGGACTCGAAAAGGAAGAAAATACTGGGGTCTGAACAAGGATGGGGGTGTAATTAGGCAATCGTAGTGCTTTACGTCATCGTCACCATCACCACTTTTATAATAAACAACCAGTCATCATCAGCATCAATGAAAGTAGAGAAAGGGTGCTGAATATTTGTTACAGGATGCAAAAAAGTTGTAGAGATAAATGCAAAAATATTAATAGAGGAGTCATCAAATTAACAGGTGCGTTTAAGAAATATATGGACGCGTTTATTATACTGTTTATGTAGTAGATATCGTCACTTGAGGCGAAGCATTGCTTGAAATACACAAGAGAATGCTAAAAATTTGAACTTGAGTATGTGTGAAAAAATGCTATGTACGGTATACAAGCTAAAACGTGAGTATCTGTCGTACATGCATAGTGACATTGTTCGTAGACATGTACAGTATACGATTGCTTACTGAGCATTGTATGGACAAATAACGACAAGGCCTGTGACGCAAACATTGTTTGATGAAGACATTAAGACCAACCATCAGGCGCTTAGTTGTTTAATAGGCACGGGCAGTTAATGATCACGAATAGTGCGTTGTCTGACTGACGTCGACCTGTGGAGATGACTCATGGTGCTTTGTTTGGTAGATGTAGACACCAACATCTAAATCTCTGTGCGTTGTTTGGTAAATATAGACACCAGCATGTAAATCTTTGTGCGTTGTTTGGTAAATATAGACACCAGCATGTAAACCTTTGTGCGTTATTTGGTAAATATAGACACCAGCATGTAAATAACCTTGGATGGTTCAGTGGATATAAAAATGAACATGTCATTCATGGTGCGTTCTTTTGTAGATACAGACACCAATATATAGCACACAGTGCGTTGTTTTATAGATATAAACACTAATATACCACTCTTCTTGCGTTTTCTGTAGGAATAGAACCAAAATATCATGATGGGCTGTTTAATAGATACAGACAGAAGCTAATCACGAACAATGGGTGCTCGGCAGGTATAGACAGTAGCTTATCACGAAAAATGGGTGCTCGGCAGGTATAGACAGTAGCTTATCACGAACAATGGGTGCTCGACAGGTATAGACAATAGCTTATCACGAACAATGGGTGCTCGACAGGTATAGACAGTAGCTTATCACGAAAAATGGGTGCTCGGCAGGTATAGACAGTAGCTTATCACGAACAATGGGTGCTCGACAGGTATAGACAGTAGCTTATCACGAACAATGGGTGCTCGACAGGTATAGACAGTAGCTTATCACGAACAATGGGTGCTCGACAGGTATAGACAGTAGCTTATCACGAACAATGGGTGCTCGACAGGTATAGACAGTAGCTACTAACGCATAGTGAGTTGTTTAGGACTGGAACATGACAACGATTTTTTCCGTCTAACAGGTGATTTGTGGTCTGAACGCTGGGATCACATCTACGACCTGGTGGTACCATTCAAGAACAAGACAGCTATTAATATAACCTCAGCACTGATCCAACAGGTAAGAGGCATTCACATAAATTCCCCGTTCCCATCTTCAGCAGCAGGACAAACAATAAGAATTATTTCAGTAGTAGTCTGACCTACCAACAGTTCAGAACCAAACAGTTTATTTGCACGATCGTTTCCCAATACCTCAGCAATAAGACTGACTTTTTCCCACCCTTGGAGAACGATCCTTTAAAAAAAAAGGAAAATAGAGCAAGAGCTACATTTTAAAAAGCTGCAAAGAAAAATCGTTTTCTCAAAACCGGACAAAAATGTAGACAAACTGGATTACTATGTATCCAACAGCACTTTGACACAGTTGAGAGGCGCATGCGCACAAAGAGACTGCAGACATGGACCGAGAAAAACATTTGAGCGGCTTGACAATATGACAGAAGAACAGAGAAGGGTAGAAAGGGGATGTGGGGGGGGGGGGGCACACACATGATGCGCAGTTATCGCAGCCTAGCTGTAAACCTTTACACCACGTGCCAACCGCCCATGTAAAAGTGATCGCAGAAGAAGAAGATGAAAAGAATGATGATTCTGCTAATCATGACCACGATGATAATGTACGAGAATAAATCTTTCGTTTTGTGATTGATCTGAATACATATTCCGTTGGTTATTGCAGGGTTACACGCCCCGGAAGATGTTTGAAAGCGCAGAACAATTCTACACGTCGCTTGGATTTGGCAAGATGGTTCCCACATTCTGGAGCAAGTCAGTGTTTGAAGAGCCTAAGGACGGACGGCGATTGATGTGTCAACCGGGCGCCTGGGACTCAGGGAATGGGGATGATTTCAGGTGTGTATTTAAATACTGCACTGCTCTTGGGGTGTGGATTTATCTCCGCTTTCACTCTGTCGTGAGTATGATTTTTAATTTTATATTTCCGTTTTCACCTTTGCATGTGCTCTGGAGATCCGGAGGATGGTGATGACGTGTGTGGTAATTAGAACTGCGAAGCTTTGTGCTTTTTGTGAGTTTCGGCGACATAAAACAGAGGAGATAAGAAAAGGGGTGAATGAGGAGAGGGAGAGAGAGAGAGAGAGAGAGAGAGAGAGAGAGAGAAGAGAGAGAGAGAGAAAGAGAGAGAAAGAGAGAGAGAGAGAGAAAGAAAGAGAGAGAGAGAAAGAGAGAGAAAGAGAGAGATAGAGAGAGAAAAGAGAGAGAGAGAGAGAGAGAGAGAGAGAGAGAGAGAGAGAGAGAAAGAGAGAGCGAGAAAAAAAAAGAGAAAGAGAGAACGCACGAACGAAAGAACGAACAAACTTTATTTTCGAAGGGTTACAAATTGGGCACGCAGGCCCATCTGACATTCAGCCCTTCTAAGCACTCGTTTTTCAGAGTACCAATGCCTGTTATCTAAAATGCATGTTATGGATATAGAATAAAAATGTACATTATAGAATTTAATACATACATCATGTGTACACAGTCTTACACACTCACTCTCACATTCTCATACATGCACACTCATATACAGACATACCTAACACATACATACATACATACACACATACATACATTTGTTTTAGTATCCAGACGCCATGAGTTGTTAACCCTTAGGCTCGGTATTATGGATATCGCACCCCTTCGGCCTTGATTCCATTGTAAATACCGTAAATCTGGGAGAAAATGTGGCTTTCCTGCCTACCCCCGGGATTGAACCCGGACCACAAGGAGTACGTCACCCTGTCTCCAGGAAATCCGGTTTAGCCAATTCCGCTAGAGAGCCGGGCACATACATACATTTATAAATGCATCTACATATATACACAAACAGAAAAGACACACACATACATACATGGACAAAAATGCACACACACATTCCATACATACACACTTTCACATGCATGCATACACATACATACAATCACATGTACAGACACCCACAACCATACATTTACACTCACATGTAAACATACATACACACATACATACATACACATATACATACACACATCAATACATATACCTATATCTTTACACACATACATGCATACTTGCATACATACCTAAATACACACACGTACACCCATATACTTATACATCTACAAATGCATACACACATCCACAAACATGCATACATACACACGCCCACATACATGCCGACACACATTACATACATACCCATACATGCATGCATACACACATATACAATCACCCATACAGATACTCACATACATACATAAACTCACGCATACACACATACTTGCCTACGTTATTTACACACATACCCACAATCACACATAGACTCATATACAGTCACACATACTTACAACATATATACATAGATACATATATATACATAAATACACACACATACAAACTTTAATAGACATTCATACATCCACATGCATGCATGCATACACACACACACCCACAATCACACACACACCCAGATAATACATACATTTATACACACATATAGATACTTTTATACCTACATACACATACATAATACATACCTACATACTTACATACATGCATACTTGCATACATTCATAAATACACACACATCCACATACATACACAGCTACACATACCGACAAACATCCATATACATGCATGAATACACATACACCCATATATACAGACATACATAATACATGCACCTACATACATATATGCACACATACATACATCCACATATATACATACATACATGGACTACATGTACATGCATACACACATCCATACATACACTCACATACTTACACACATACATACTTACCTAAATACACACACATGCATGCATACATATACACACATACATGCATACATTCACCTACATCTTTACACACATACAGAGAGAAAGAGAGAGAGAACGAACGAACGAACGAACAAACTTTATTTTCAAAGGGTTAAGAATTGGGCATGCAGGCCGTCTAACATTCTGCCCTTCCACTCCGCTCCTTTTATACAATGTTTCATTTGTACCTCATTTCATAGTTAACAATAATATTAGTAATAATAATAATAATAATAATAATAATAACAATAATAATAATAATAATAAAAAGAGGAATGCACAATTACAAATTTGAGAAATATAGAAAAGAAACAAAAGTTTAAAAAAGAGAAGTAAAAAAATTACAATATCTAAGTCTTAATTACAAATGCTGGAATGTGCTCTAATTTATACCGACATTACTTGAACTTTTTAAAGAGTATAATAATAAGCCTATTCCAAAAATGATGTAAGTCTCACAGGTTGCATAATATAAACATCATCAAAACCAATTCAATATTAGTTACAAACATTGGAATGCATTCGACTGACATCTTCAGTTTTAAACAATAATAAGCTTCAGTTTTTAACCCCCACCCCCTTCCCCTCCCCCCCCCCCCCCCCCCAAAAAAAAAACGTTAATAAGAAATACATCAAAGCCTTAACATAATATATCTTTTAGTGGGGGGGGGGGGGGCAATAGTTTCCGATTGTATCTAAAGGGGTTATTGATATTTTTTATTTCCGGTGGACGATTATTCCACAGCTGAGCTGCAGAGTACGATCTTATGATGGTAATTTTAGTTTGAAGAAAACGATATTTATATTTACTTCCTATTTTGCTCTTGTGTTTAATGACCAAATGTTGCTTTAATTTCTATCCGAATAAAAACAAAGCGGCTTCATCTTTTCTTTCAGAGTCAGAATGTGCGCAAAGACCACACAAGATCATTTTCTCAAAGTCCACCATCTCATGGGCCATATTGTTTATATGATGCAGTACAAAAGTCTACCGCGGGTTTACAGACAAGCCACGAACGATGGTAACATTTAATTACGTGTACGTGTACTGGCTCACCCAGTTATATTGAGACATCTTCCATAAATTTATAGGGGTACCTGATTCCCCGTTCTTCCCCTAGAAAATATGCATCTAAATGGGTACCCTAACCATGTATAATAACCTTTCTTTGTATATATTTCTAAAAATTTTTATGTAATTTCAAATATATTGCTTTATTTAGTTGCCAGTCTGCAATCAAAAATAATATAGTGCATTTAAACAAGGCTCAGACCTTTCCTCCCTCTGAGCACCCACTAGACAATTTGTAAAAGATCTGTGGTCTACCAACCTGATGGTTTTTAGTTGGATTTTATTTTAAAGAATTAATTCAGCTCACATGCCACACATAGCTTATACCCGAGAACATTAACATGTTCTGGAAGGTAAAGGATGTGATATAAAGGGTACAGGACACACAGTGCTTCGTTGTCAATAAATACACGTCGCAATTCCCAGTACGCGATGAAAAGAACTCCACAGGGGAGTATGCACAACAGGAGCTTAATCAATCATCAGTAAAAGGGTCTCTTGTCAACAATTGTTTCAGCCCAATAACGTCCTATACAATCTCGGTGGGTGGGCCGATCTGGTTCACGAAGCTAGGCCTCAGACATCTCCTGTTGCGCTTATCGGACATGGTATCTTTCGGACAAGACGAAATGGTGGCATCAGGTATTGTGAGGCGTGGTGTTATATATATTGTCGCTGCCAAGCCTATCTTCAGGACCAAAGTAACAATCTTACGGCTGGCTTATCGGACAGACGTTAGACTTTGCCAAATGGCAGAGAGACACTTGCAGACGTTTTTTATCGGACACTTTGGCTTTAATGGGATGTAAAGTTCTTTTACACTAGGCGCTCGGACCAGTCTACCGAGGCATATCCCCCACGACGTTCCGTTGCGTCTAAAGCTAGCTCGAAGCCGTTTCCGCTGCCTCGCCCGGCTGTTTTAGTGCCCGTTTCGGTTCATTTCCTCACAAGTCCAGGTGCTTTAGTACATTGTATGGGCAGGTGGAGATAAGACCTCTTGCACCTACCTCCACTGCGAAGATTATTACTGTGTGCGCCCCATCTGTCCTCAGACCGGCCACCAGTTCACTCTTCTAGCTTGTATATGTGATTTTCTTCCAGCTGCGACTCCCACGGCACGCTGAGTTCTATCAGGATGAGCTTACGATTTTTCGCAGATTGCAGGACCATATCTGGTCTCAGGCCGGTCATTCGGATTGAATCGGGGTATTTCTCGACACCAGACAGATCAGCTGCCAGTAACCAGTTCCTCGCACAGTTAAGTGTCGGTTGAGCATACGCGACCTTTGTTGATTTTACATTTAGAAATCTGCCCAGTCCTAACGAAGCTCATGGAGGAGGGGGGGGGAAGGGGGGGGGGGGGAGAGGGAAGGAGGGGGGGGGGACGTTAGTGCTGACCTTCACGTTAGCCCTCATCCTGGCTTGGTCCACAATGTCCGCTAGCTTTTTCAGGACTTTATTGCGGCGCCATGTATATCGTCCCTGGTCTAGGGCTTTTCTGCACGCGGACAATACGTGCTAGCGCGTTTGCTTAGCTCTGCATAGGGTACATGTCGGGTCCGTGGTCGCATGCCATGTGGACATGTTGGCGCTAGAGGGTCACATGTGGTAAGCAGATCTTATTACAAAGCTTAGGCGCCGTGGGGCCTTTCGCAACATCTCATCCCATGTGAGTATTCGTAGCAAGGCGAGCAGGATCATGTCTGGTCTCAGATCTGTCTTTCGGATTGAATCGGGGTATTTCTCGAAACCAGACAGGTCGACCGCCAGTAACCAGTCCCTCACCAAGTCAATTATTGATGGAGCATATGCGTTCGTGAATGTTAAATCAGAGGTAAAATCATATCAACTGTGCCATCGTTTCAAGTTATGTATGTGCATATGCATATACATACATATACTTTTGTTTATTTATTGATGTTTGGGTCTATTTTCAGTATTACTATTCTTGTGGCACTTGCCGTAACGGATAGACCGAATATTTCAATAAAAAGTGATAACAGGATGACCACAATTAATTATAATGACTAAAGTAGGAGTCACAAAAGAGTATTGGTGAGACCATTGTTTCCTACTGTGGGCGATAGCTTTGTCGATCAAAAGTGTGGGCCTGTGGAACGGACCCTAGGCGGTAAGAGCCTCAGGTGTTATTAGGGGCAAGGATTAGACTTTCGTCCTCGGTAGAAACAAAAAGGAGGTAAAGGACAAGAGATACAATTTTCGTTCACAATCCTGTGAGAGGCCGGGAAATGAAATCTAATATAGATCGGGTTCTGACTGTACCGGACTTCCCCCCCCCCTTCCCCCCGAAAAAAACCCCACCCTGGCTCCCAGGTCGACCCAGCCTTGAATGGTGCTGACCATTTTACAAAGCGAGTGCCCAATGGTCTATAAATTATAGGTCTAGCCCTATATACCCGATACGCCTGAAGCATGGAAGGGGTCCTTTACTTGATTAGGAAATAAGCGCAGATTTGGGATATGATTTTGGGTAAATTAATTAGTGCAGAACTTATTGTAATAAAACATTATAAACCACATTTCTCCCAGTCAGTTCATACTGCTCATGAATATGTTATAAAGCACAAAATCAATGATTCGGCCTCTTACGCATGGGCTATATATATATATATATATATATATATATATATATATATATATATATATATATATATATATATATATATATATATATATATATATATAAAAAACAAGAGTAGTATTTAGCATGCTGGTAACGCTTCTTTCTATGAGTGCCGTTCACAATACTTTCTGTTACTTGATTAATTCATAATATTTAACGGCCTCAAATGGTTCCCCCCTCTGTTTATTTATAGGAATGACGTATACACACCGGAACCTACCAATCAAATACCTTTCTTAAATGTTTGTGTATTCTAGACAAAACAATAAGGTCTTAATGTGTTCGTAAATTGTTGCTGTGATTGTTATTCGACATTTGCTTCGTTAAAATAAATTTCTGTAACCTATGGTGCCATTTCAATGGGTTGAAATGAATTCTGTCCGTATTCCATAGTCGTGGATTTCAAGCTGTACGATAGACATGGCCAGTGAGACACCTTTTTTTGGGGGTGCCTAGTTGACCATGTAACTTAGTGCACTTGTATTCATGGCGAGGCGCAGACGCCGTCTGGAGGTGACAGGTTCAATTCCCGGCACGGTAACTATAGCTTTCGATTTTTATGTTGTCTAGTGTGTTCTTCTATCTTTCCACTTCTTTCTGTGAGTGCCGTTCACAATACTTTCTGTTACTTGATTAATTCATAATATTTAACGGCCTCAAATGGTTCCCCCCTCTGTTTATTTATAGAAATTTGGTAACGCTAGCCGGTTTTGTTCACTGTATGTAATTATTTACCCACTAAAAAACAAAGATAATGTGTATTTCCAGCATTCAACGAGGCCATTGCTGATTTTGTTGCATTGTCGATTCAAACTCCGCACTACTTGAAGACCCTGAACCTTATCGAGACGATTCCCACAGATACCGGTAAAACAAAAATCCCACACAGATACATGCTAAGGCGTTAACACAAACACACAAACATACACATATACACACACACGCACAGTTAAATAATTATCATCATCACCACTGCTATTTCAGCATATCTGTCTTTTGTCCCCCCCCCCCCCCCTTTTTTTTCCCGCCTCTCCCTTGGCTGCTACTTGATTTTTTTAAACCTGTCCTTGAACATTTGAGAATATCGCACAGGCAACAAAACAGCAGGACACATACCACCAGCAACAATCCACTATACTCCACATTTAACCTTCATAGAAGTTATAATTACGGCGCCCGACCAGTTACACCGTCCTGATGTAGCCTTCAGTCTTGTGCTGGTAAGTAAAATGAAATTCTCGACTTACGGCTATTGGCATTTTACGGAAATGTATTCTCCTGTTCAGTGTGTTCTCTTCATTGCACAGGCAAGACATCCACGTGACTGCATTTGGATACGTTAGTTAGGTGATTTTGTGTAATCGTGTGGTTTTGTTTGATTTATGTATTGAGCTTGGTAAGGGGTGAAACGACTGTATTGAGCGCGGTAAGGAGTGAAATGACTGTGTTGAGCGTGGTAAGGAGTGAAATGACTGTATTGAGCGTGGTAAGGAGTGAAATGACTGTGTTGAGTGTGGTAAGGAGTGACATGACTGTATTGAGAGTGGTAAAGAGTGAAATGACTGTATTGAGCGTGGTAAGGAGTGAAATGACTGTGTTGAGCTTGGTAAGGAGTGAAATGACTGTGTTGAGTGTGGTAAAGAGTGACATGACTGTATTGAGCGTGGTAAGGAGTGAAATGACTGTATTGAGTGTGGTAAGGAGTCAAATGACTGTATTGAGTGTGGTAAAGAGCGAAATGACTGTATTGAGCGTGGTAAAGAGTGAAATGACTGTATTGAGCTTGGTAAGGAGTGAAATGACTGTATTGAGTGTGGTAAGGAGTGAAATGACTGTATTGAGCTTGGTAAGGAGTGAAATGACTGTATTGAGTGTGGTAAGGAGTGAAATGACTGTATTGAGTGTGGTAAGGAGTGAAATGACTGTATTGAGCGTGGAAAAGAGTGAAATGACTGTATTGAGCTTGGTAAGGAGTGAAATGACTGTGTTGAGCGTGGTAAGGAGTGAAATGACTGTATTGAGCGCGGTAAGGAGTGAAATGACTGTGTTGAGCGTGGTAAGGAGTGAAATGACTGTGTTGAGCGTGGTAAGGAGTGAAATGACTGTGTTGAGCCTGGTAAGGAGTGAAATGACTGTATTGAGCGTGGTAAGGAGTGAAATGACTGTATTGAGCGTGGTAAGGAGTGAAATGACTGTGTTGAGCTTGGTAAGGAGTGAAATGACTGTATTGAGCGTGGTAAGGAGTGAAATGACTGTATTGAGCGTGGTAAGGAGTGAAATGACTGTATTGAGCGTGGTAAGGAGTGAAATGACTGTGTTGAGCGTGGTAAGGAGTGAAATGACTGTGTTGAGCGTGGTAAGGAGTGAAATGACTGTATTGAGCGTGGTAAGGAGTGAAATGACTGTGTTGAGCTTGGTAAGGATTGAAATGACTGTGTTGAGTGTGGTAAAGAGTGAAATGACTGTATTGAGCGTGGTAAAGAGTGAAATGACTGTATTGAGTGTGGTAAGGAGTGAAATGACTGTATTGAGTGTGGTAAGGAGTGAAATGACTGTATTGAGTGTGGTAAAGAGTGAAATGACTGTATTGAGCGTGGTAAAGAGTGAAATGACTGTATTGAGCTTGGTAAGGAGTGAAATGACTGTATTGAGTGTGGTAAGGAGTGAAATGACTGTGTTGAGCGTGGTAAGGAGTGAAATGACTGTATTGAGTGTGGTAAAGAGTGAAATGACTGTATTGAGCGTGGTAAAGAGTGAAATGACTGTATTGAGCTTGGTAAGGAGTGAAATGACTGTATTGAGCGTGGTAAGGAGTGAAATGACTGTATTGAGCGTGGTAAGGAGTGAAATGACTGTACTGAGCGTGGTAAGGAGTGAAATGACTGTATTGAGCTTGGTAAGGAGTGAAATGACTGTATTGAGCGTGGTAAGGAGTGAAATGACTGTATTGAGCGCGGTAAGGAGTGAAATGACTGTGTTGAGCGTGGTAAGGAGTGAAATGACTGTATTGAGCTTGGTATGGAGTGAAATGTCTGTATTGAGCGTGGTAAGGAGTGAAATGACTGAAATGATGCTGGCAATGAGTGAAATGACTGTATTGAGCGTGGTAAGGAGTGAAATGACTGTATTGAGCGTGGTAAGGAGTGAAATGACTGTATTGAGTGTGGTAAGGAGTGAAATGACTGTATTGAGTGTGGTAAGGAGTGAAATGACTGTATTGAGCTTGGTAAGGAGTGAAATGACTGTATTGAGCTTGGTAAGGAGTGAAATGACTGTATTGAGCGTGGTAAGGAGTGAAATGACTGTATTGAGCTTGGTAAGGAGTGAAATGACTGTATTGAGCGTGGTAAGGAGTGAAATGACTGTATTGAGCGTGGTAAGGAGTGAAATGACTGTATTGAGTGTGGTAAAGAGTGAAATGACTGTGTTGAGTGTGGTAAGGAGTGAAATGACTGTATTGAGCGTGGTAAGGAGTGAAATGACTGTATTGAGCGTGGTAAGGAGTGAAATGACTGTATTGAGTGTGGTAAGGAGTGAAATGACTGTATTGAGTGTGGTAAAGAGTGAAATGACTGTATTGAGTGTGGTAAGGAGTGAAATGACTGTATTGAGTGTGGTAAAGAGTGAAATGACTGTGTTGAGCGTGGTAAAGAGTGAAATGACTGTACTGAGTGTGGTAAAGAGTGAAATGACTGTGTTGAGCGTGGTAAAGAGTGAAATGACTGTATTGAGCGTGGTAAGGAGTGAAATGACTGTATTGAGCGTGGTAAGGAGTGAAATGACTGTGTTGAGTGTGGTAAGGAGTGAAATGACTGTATTGAGCTTGGTAAGGAGTGAAATGACTGTATTGAGCGTGGTAAAGAGTGAAATGACTGTATTGAGTGTGGTAAAGAGTGAAATGACTGTATTGAGCTTGGTAAGGAGTGAAATGACTGTGTTGAGTGTGGTAAGGAGTGAAATGACTGTATTGAGCTTGGTAAGGAGTGAAATAACTGTATTGAGCTTGGTAAGGGGTGAAATGACTGTATTGAGTGTGGTAAGGAGTGAAATGACTGTGTTGAGTGTGGTAAGGAGTGAAATGACTGTATTGAGCTTGGTAAGGAGTGAAATGACTGTATTGAGCTTGGTAAGGAGTGAAATGACTGTATTGAGCGTGGTAAGGAGTGAAATGACTGTATTGAGCGTGGTAAGGAGTGAAATGACTGTGTTGAGTGTGGTAAGGAGTGAAATGACTGTATTGAGTGTGGTAAGGAGTGAAATGACTGTATTGAGCTTGGTAAGGAGTGAAATGACTGTATTGAGCGTGGTAAGGAGTGAAATGACTGTATTGAGCTTGGTAAGGAGTGAAATGACTGTGTTGAGCGTGGTAAAGAGTGAAATGACTGTATTGAGCGTGGTAAGGAGTGAAATGACTGAAATGATGCTGGCAACGAGTGAAATGTCTTTCCAAATTAGGAACCGCTGAGATATTTTGTTACATTCCTAAACTTATACACTTGTTAGCTGTAGTAACGCAGTGGCTATATTCTATGCTATTGGGTTCGAATCAGGATCAAAGTCCTGACAGGTGCCAGATATCGCAGACAGGTGCCTCACTTTTTTTTTACTGACATGTTTCCGTATCTCATTCAGAGAGCGACTTAAATTTGCTGATGAAAACTGCCCTGCAAAAACTGGCGCCGCTTGCGTATGGATATACCTTAGAACGGTTTCGTTGGAATATGTTCTGTGGAGAGATCAAATCTGATCAGTATAATACTGAATGGTGGAATTATAGGTATACTGTGATTTTTGTGTGTCTTAATTTGTTTCTGCTGATTACGTTTTTGTAACTTCATTGACCTGGGAGACTAGTAATTATTCTCTTTACTTCGCCGGGTCAGTCCCACACGGAAAACTGACTATCAAAACGTTTAAATCAGGATAGCGAACAGAACAGGTACCGTCCTGCATATTTTTAATCGACATTGGTTTAGTTGCCTGCTTGTGTTCTCTGGTTTGTTGTGTTGACGGTTTCGGTCCTGTGACCTTGGCTACAAAACCGAGAATTGATCATGGTAATAAAGGGTGGGGCGGGGGAGGGGAGGGGGTAGTGGGGAATGGTATCGTTAGCAAATTTAAAAAAGAAATCCGTCTTCAAACATCATCATTTATGTGAATATAATATTCAAACAGATGTAAAACGCATAAGGGATAATTGATAACACATGCAGTTTTCAAAATAAGTCGTCTTCATAACTACCACCACCAACACCATAAATTACTGTAGTCTTTACGAAAATTGGAGCTACAATAGCGCAGCGACTAAAGGCTCGCTAGCCGATCTAAGGCTTTTAGGTTTAAATCCGCATGGAGACAGATATTTAAAAAAATTACCGTCGCTTCCTGATTGACACAGGCAAAACATGATGTCAGGTACTGTCCTGGAAAGTAAAGGCGACCGGCGGGATCTTGACCACATCACCGCTAATTGTGTCTAATCTCATGCTTGATGCGTCACTGGCGTTAAAAAGAGTCATTTTATCCAAAACATAAGACTTGTAGTAAATGTCACCAACCCGTTCTCTCCTGTGCAATGCTTGCAATATTGGATACTGAATCCATTCTGGCACTTCTGGCCTCTGCTGCTATGCAACGCTTGCAATATCTGGCACTGAATCTAGTCTGGCACTTCTAGCCTCTGCTGCTATGCAATGCTTGCAATATCTGGCACCGAATCTAGTCTAGCATTCTGGACTCCCCTATCAACATCCCCTTAGGTTTTCCCCTGGAAATGCAGATTGCTTCAATCAATTTGTTTAACATTTCAGTGCCTGTTTTGTGATTTTTCTTTTGCAGCTTCATCTCAGAATGAGGCCAATATATCGTCATATTCTTTCTGTTATAACTGAGGAAAATAATAACACTCTAAACAGAAGAAAAGCCACAAAGAAAGAATATATTAGATCACGTGGAAAAATTGCAGTAATAGATCAATGAGACGTTGACGATAAAGACTTTCTGTACATATGAGGAGAAATTCAATACTTCTTCTTCTTCTTCTTTGCGTTCGGTTTCGTATGCTCAGATCAGACCATCAGGAATAATAAAGGAAAAGAAAAGAGGCACACACTTTCATGGCTTTGCAACACTGCAAGGACCGGACAAGAACAAGGACGTGATCCGTCTTTTCTGTGATCGTGGATAATTTTTAATCAATACCGCCTTCGCTTTTCAGCAACTTGATAATGTTGAGCCACTTCAAACAGTATATTATAACACTGTAATTTATCATTTAAACAACATAAATTACATATTTATCATAGCTTACAAAGCATAAATACAATCAGCTCAAGCCTTGGTAACTGCGTAGAACTAATTTGACACCCATATAAAAAGGCCTACTCTTTCCCACATGGTAGCTAAAAACACAAAGATTCTATCTGGGAAAAAAATGATGCGTACCGGTATATAATACATGTTTGAGTGTGACACCGATAGCAGCCCGTCTGGTACAAACATTTGAACTGCATCAGCAGCACAACACTAACACTGACTAAGTCGGTCTATATTTTGTTTCAACATATCCCATCAAGTATTAATCAGCAAAATTAGAAGTTGATGTAGTTTAGAGACTAGGTGCTCATCTGTTGGTCCATTGGTCTTTTATATTTAATCTGTATGTACACAAAAATCTGGTCTTCCTTCTTAGGCTGACGCAGCCTAAAAAGAAAATTATAAAATCTCGCAGAAAGTAAAGACGGCCAGCGCGATGTTTACTACATCACCAGTCTAGCACCAGTTGCTGAAGCGCCATATTTTTTGATCTGCAGCTAGCTTGAAAATGATTTTTTAATTGTTTTTAAAACTTACATTGTTAGTGAAATGTCAATATTAAATTTATATCATTTTCAGATCCACAATTCCTAATTTACTGTTACCTTATTGCCAGGTGTAAACATCAAGGTATATCGCCACCTGTGCCGAGAAGTGAGCTGGACTTTGATCTTGGAGCCAGACAAAATGTGGCGGGAGATACTGAGATCATCCAGTATAAATGCTCTAATAATGCTTTTTATTATTATAGTTTACGTCAGAGCTTTTGAACTTAAATTTGCTGGCAGATTTTTAGAGTATAAGGGACCCATAAAACAGTGTTACATTCTTTAGCAGCGAACATAATGTTGACTTCTTCCTAGACGGAATAGTTTGTGAAAAATTAAAATGCTATGACCATAATTAAAGTTATAAGGGTTTAGAAAGAACAGCAGAATGGGGTTTGGGATTAGACTAGGTTCTTGAAAGAATAAGCAGGGCTCGACCTGCATGACAGTGGACGCGGGATGTCAAGGACAACCTAGGCGTGAAAGTTGGTAAGGATTTAGTGGATTTTCAGGGGTGAAATTATGAGTTCTTTAAAAAACTGCTGCATGATGATAATATATATCATGTGGCTTTAACAATGATGTCTATACACAGACGTCTGTCTCCGGGAATGTCAATAATTCTCCAACGTATTTTCTTCACAACGTGATAGCAGACTGTCCAACATCTCCTCTCTAGATCCCCTTCTGCCCATATTTCATTTCAACTTTTTAAACTCAAGTTTTCCTCATCTAACAACGTGCAAAAATATTATAAATGTATTCTTATGATGTCGGCAAGTTAGTTACTTTAAACATCATCCTTGAGATTTTTATCCATTAATTGTCTTCTCATTATTTTGTGTGTGTGTGTATATAATTTATATTATAGATTGATTTACTAGTCATTCTATTATATAGTGTAGAATGTCAGGTCTTGGTCAAATATAACCGTATAGCACTAGCTTGTACTACATGTCTTCTGTTAACGCCGAATGTTGGGCAACGTTTACCGAACCTTTCATCCTATATTGTGCCAACGGCTTCGAGCAAATGAGGGCTCTGAGAAAGATACTAGCCTTATCCTATGAAGAGGAAATACAACCTGAAGACTGTTAAAGCAGGGCCGTCAGACCCTTAGCATTGGCTGGCAGCTGGTCTAGGATGGAAGCTTTGACAGGCGGACAGATAGAGCATTGCTCTTCTGATCCGGCAGCTTCCACAGCCTGATTTTCTAAATCTACCGGTGTTACCTTTCCTGTGGAGTAAACATGGCAGGTAAAGAGATGGATTATGATGCATGGGCAAAATATGGTGTCTATAATACTGCCATAATTATGAAACTCTGATCATAATATGTAAACCTCACAGAGAACGTTTCCGACTTCGAAACATAATTTTTTTCCCCTCTCCTTGCTCCATGCTGCATACGTAACCACGCAACATTCACCAGCTAAACAGGTTGAACAGGTAAAAATGACAGTTTTGCGGGATCATAGATTAAAGCTGCCTGTTTGGGTGACATGCTTTTCTTCATGGATAATGTTCTTATCAAAGCTGTAATAAAATCAGTCTCGTTATTTATTGGGTGGATAATGCATCATAAAAAAAGAAAGGTTAAAAATAGGCAGAAATATAGAAAAAAAAAATCTTTGAACAGATGAGCATATTTTATAGAAACTTTGCACAAATTTAGGTTTAGGTTTACTCAAGAGGATCTACTACATTGCAAAGTTTTACTTTTTTCATCCTTGATAGCGAAGTCTCTACACGCACACCAGCTAGCCAACTGCAGAAAGCGTTGCACAAAATACGAACTTAGGAGACCAGCGACGATCGCAAAGAATCTCGGTAGAAACTGCACTCGCGAAACGATCTACACAGTCTGTGAAACGATCTACACAATCCGTAAAACGATCTACACAGCCCGTGAAACGATCTACACAGTCCGTGAAACGATCTACACAGTCCGTGAAACGATCTACACAGTCCGCAAAACGATATACACAGTCCGTGAAGCGATCTACACAGTCCGTGAAACGATTTACACAGCCCGTGAAACGATCTACACAGCCCGTGAAACGATCAACACAGTCCGTGAAACGAGCACACAGCTTTTAGAGGGCGAGACTAACAGCTTAACGATTTAGCCCGGAAGAACCTCAAGAAACAACATACATACCTCCAACAGCTTGGGCAATGTTGTGTCAGCTAATAATCGATCCCTTAATTGATGTTTCAGGTTTTTCCTTGGAACCATTCTCCAGTTCCAGATCCACAAGGCGGCATGTGTACTGGCAAAATTCAATGGGCCTATACACAGATGCGATGTTTACAACAAAAGGCAGGTTGGAGACAAACTAATGTAAGAACATGATTTCTTTGTTATCGTTACAATCATTATAATCATTTCTCACTGTTGCGCTTGGGGTCTGTGTACTGAGATAAATAACCAGTGTTTACAATTTAGATGTTGTCGTATCATTCCGGGACTGTTGCACTAAGCGTCATCGATCCGTTTTTTTGTTGTCGATGTTGCCATGAATGTAAATGGAAATTCTGCATCATCAGCAGAACTATCTAGATATAAAAACCATATCACCCAGACACAAAAAATATCACGAATTATCGCCGAAGCTGCGGAGAGCGTTTCTTGCACAGCATATCACCTTTAGCTGTTAAACTTGAAAATGAATCTATGGTTCAGAAATATTCAATAATACTTTAAGAAAATTAAGGAATCAGAGAGTAAAACTTCTTCTTCACCGAATTAACTCTAAACTCCGGCGGAAAGTCCTACTTGTTCTTCCACTTCTGGATTTTGGGACTGTTCTAGGATTTGGGCGTTGCATGCCCATCCGTTTTCACATCTGGTTTATCTGTGTGCAAAGTGTTGGTTCCTTGCTACTCATGCAGATGCACTCCGACTTCGTTAGAAACGCTGTTCGTATATACGTTGGCGAGGTGCCCGGTTAAAACGAAAAAAAAAACCCCTAATCTGAGACGACCATGAAGATCCATAAATTGGTCCTATTCTTCTGTATTCCGTATCTCTGGTTTGATTTTCTGGCTGCTGGTTTGTTGTCTAGGCTTCTCCACCTCATTGTAGATTTGTGCCTCCAGAGTATTTGGACCATTATTTATATCTAGATGTCATTACTTGCTGCGTTTTGTTGATATTTAAGCCACTCCTATTCTTTTTCAATTTTCTGTTTCACTTCTGCCATCATCTTTTATTAATTCTTTCAATCCAAGGCACTTATTTCTTGAATATTTATTCATACGTTTTAGAGTGTGTACTGTGGAGCTACAATCTTTCTCTGTTACTGGAGTAAAATTACAAAAATACTTTGCAGAAGAAGTTACAGAACCATTTTTAATAGAAAGGATTTTTGTAACCGAGGAATGTGACAGAAGCAATACAGGAATATGCGATGTATGAAGTAACATCAGTGGGGTATCGTCAATGGAGTATCATCAGTTGAGTATAATCAGTTAGTAACATCAGTGAAGTATCATCAGTGGGGTAACATCAGTGGAGTGTCATCAGTGGAATCGATTCACAATACAAGGACCCCCCCCCCCCCCAAAAAAAAAAAAAAAAAAAAAAAAAATGGCGCCTACTCCGCTAGGTATGGCTCATGATGTTTTTTTTTTAAATTATCATGAATGACGATAAAGTGAAAATGTGCATATGATGCGTTGCTTGCAACTGAAAGCGTTTAATGTACAATGTAGGGGAAAAAGTGTAATATTATTGTTATAATTTGTTCAACTGTTGTTAGTTAGTTAGCCGACAGATAATCCTCATCGAATGTCGAGCCATTTAGTCCATACGTGATCGATTCACCTCCTCGGTAAATTCCCCATCGAGTAGCTGCTTACGACACCAGTTCTGTGTTGGTTTCTTATTCTTCTTTGGTTTCCTGCATATTGCTCTTATCTGGCCACACCCCTTTTAACATGCAGTTTTTGCAATCTGACCCTGGTATAGATTCGGTCATCACTTTGTTCTCGTAAACGTGCTACTTCTCATAGAGTATTCAGCATATCAACCTGGTCCAGGGCACGCCAACCCTCCAAAGTAGCGTTACCTGCAAACCTTTCAGCTTTCTCATTTCCTTCCACACCTGTGTGTCGTGGCACGAATACGAAACTGATACGAGGTACGGCCTCCTTTAAAAAAAATCAATGTACATACTTCGTCCGTGCGTTTTTGTAAATTCAGCTGGATTCACCACACGCTCTTCTGCATTATACAGCACTTGCACCCTGTTTCAGGAAAGGTGGCACCACTGTAACAAGTTGACAATGGCTACTATAGACGTTTGGTTAAAACAACGTCAAGTCGTAGAATTCCTCAATGCTGAAGGTGAGACCCGAGTTCATAACCACTAAGGTTTGAAGAATGTTTACAGATTTTCAGCAGTGGATGTTAGCACTGCCCGAACGCTGGGTACATTGTTATGATGTACGGATAGTGTTCACAGAAGAAAAATATATGACAGTTTAGGGTGCATTATCGTCCTTCGTATGTGTCAGTACCGACGGCCTTTGAAACTCCAACTACGGTCATCGGACCCAGCCCATCTGTATCTTCCTAAGAATACACATTGAGTCATTAGGAAAACATGCGTGAAAAAAAGTCGGTGTCTCCAGCCCTGTTATTGTTTTGGTCATTGCCATGACTTCCATAGTCAGGCTACTTGCATTCGCAGCAAAACACCAGAAGCACATTGCTTCACAATTCTAACTCCAACCTGAGCCGTAAGAGCCCACGAGCTTCTCACGTTTAAACAACCATGTTTAATCCAGGGTATATGTGTACCAGTTTTCTAACAACCACATTCCCTTCACACACAGAGAAATAATGAAACTGGGATCCTCTCAGCCTTGGCAGACAGTTCTGCAACAGTTAACAGGAAGAAGCTTGCCGGACGCCCTGCCAGTCGTGGAGTACTTCAAACCCTTAACTCAGTTCCTTCGTAGGGAAAATGGAGATGACTTTGGATGGAAGGAACAATGTTCCCAAACATGACCACACTTGAGTATATTATCTCAGACACCTGGCTTGTGACAAGTGATAATTTTAATGAATTTAAACAGTTTTAAATATTGAGAAATAAACAATTGCTTTACTGTCAGCATTACTGACATATTTCGCTGTTATGTCGTCAACAAATAATGAAGCACAAAACATGAATGCTTACATATGAATTTCACAAATCACATTGTTTCATTTTATGCTGTGTATCTTACTAATATCCTTAGAATTTCTTGGATGGCTAGGAAAAACAACCCAGATATTTTGAGAGAGGCAGTTCCTCGAAGAAAACTGACCACACACTTCAGAAAGAGACGGTCATTATTTTTGGGTCATGTTATGAGTAGAGAGAAATTGAACATGTTGTGACTGTTGGAAAGATTTGTGGAAAGAGAGACAGAGGAAGACGGACTGAGCTAATCTTGACAGCATTTTGTCATGGCATGCAAGGGTGTCAACATACTAACTGATAAACGCATGATGATGATCATCTAATAACAGAAGCCCAAGATTACCACAATGATCGTTCAACTTTCTTTCTTTCTTTCTTTCTTTCTTTCTTTCTTTCTTTCTTTCTTTCTTTCTTTCTTTCTTTCTTTCTTTCTTTCTTTCTTTCTTTCTTTCTTTCTTTCTTTCTTTCTTTCTTTCTTTCTTTCTTTCTTTCTTTCTTTCTTTCTTTCTTTCTTTCTTTCTTTCTTTCTTTCTTTCTTTCTTCTTTTTCTTTCTTTCTTTCTTTCTTTCTTTCTTTCTTTCTTTCTTTCTTTCTTTTCTTTCTTTCTTTTTTCTTTCTTTCTTTCTTTTTTCTTTCTTTCTTTCTTTCTTTTCTTTCTTTCTTTCTTTCTTTCTTTCTTTCTTTCTTTCTTTCTTTCTTTCTTTCTTTCTTTCTTTCTTCTTTCTTTTCTTTCTTTCTTTCTTTCTTTCTTTCTTTCTTTCTTTCTTTCTTTCTTTCTTTCTTTCTTTCTTCCTAATAGTCACATTAACAACATGCTTGTTAGGAGCAATGAGT